CTATAAAAAGCGACTAGTTGCTTAGTATATTTTTGCTCTTTTTTGTAAAGTATAGATACCAGCTCTGATGATGTCTGTCATAGTATAGACGAAAACTCTGCATAGATTCATTGGGGTCGCAAGACGCTGAGCTGATAACTTATTTGCACAATACAACAGTCTGCATCATGCGGCAATCCTCCTTCGGTTTCTGATGAGACCACATCACGAATTCCTTCCGACCAACTCTCCTTCGAAATGGAATGCAATGCCACAACCTAACCATTAGTCCACATTGCAACGTGTGACAAGGATTGTCGATGAAACAAGGTTGTATTCATTTACCATTACAGAAGATCGCATTACTTGTATCCGTAATGAGTAGGCTTTTGAGACTATCGGTAGATCCTTAATGAGATTGATTACATTTTTTGTCCAAGCTCAAACGGTAGTCTCAAAACTGCCAAGTATCAATATTTGTGTGTCTGTCACTATCTTCTGTGACCTCATAATTAACTCTTCAGCTGACTCTCTCAGAGAGTTAACGAAGATCATTCGTTTTCGGTTCATTGTCCGGCTCTTTTAAACTATATGCGAAAAAAAGGTTAGATTCACGGAATCTCACCAACTTGACAGATGTAGGTCTGAGATAAAAGGGCATGATGGTAGTCATCAAACATTAATTTAATCCATCACTGCTGGCTTGATACATATTCGAACTCATGGAGGCAAACAAACACATGCATAAAGACACACACACATAAACACACACAGACATATATATATATATATATAGTACTAAAGAGCTTAGATATAAGATATATATACTGAATTTAGGGATAAGTAGGTGATTTTTCCTGACTTCTGAGCTTGAAATGGTTGTAAGTATGCTATTCTGCTTTGAGGATGTCTGTCATATGAAAGATAAAAGCCTAGCAAGTTTTCACCGGAATCGAAGAAGAGTGCCTCGGAAAAATTTTCCACAAGAATGTTACGATAAGGCCAATCTCAACAGCTGGTCGAAAGGAATCCGCCGTCGTCTTCTGCATGGATCGAACTTCAAATCTCTTTAGCACATACATTCATGCGAAATTAAAAGGATCTAAACAACTGTTCAAACCATAAGATGCTTTTCGACATTACCAGAAGGCCGTTTATTTTTTTGGGTTGTGTTCACCCTGTTTCGTTTAAGGTGAAGAAGGACTGGTAGTTGATTTTCCGCACAATAATATGAGTAGAGCTGATGTCTTTAAATGAATTTCACATAGTCTTGCTTTCCCAAAAGCTGTTCTCATCCAGACTAAACTGCAGTTTCGACCTCTCATAGGTCTTATCAACATCCCCAGTGGGACTCGAGCCATGACGCGGCAGAGTAAGAATGCGACACGTTAACCATTACATTACATTGCCAAGAGTGCTCTTGGATCAAATGGCAGATGTGAATTTGAATAAAGGCCAGGCAATTTTCCATATTACATTCTCTACTGAGATTGTCATTGAAGCAAAGTTGTATTTGCTATAGCAGTCCACCATGGATAAGAGATATTTTTGGGAAAGCAGAACTCCGTGTAATTCAATGGAAACGTCACGTCTACTCATATCATTGTGGGAGAGTTCGACTACACGTTCCATTATCATCCTACACGAAATAGGATGAATACTTCTCACACATATGATCTATTGGTTGTCGCAATAACCTACTTAAAAGCGAAAACAAGTAACGTAGTTGAGTACTACAGCAAATACATCCTTGGTTCATCGACACTACCACTACAGAATACGATACGGGACATTGCCCGTCCTTTCTTCAAATTCACACCTATTCTGTGTCTCAAGGGCCCAATGAGAATAGGTAGCGCTGATTTGAGAGTCGACTTTACGGCAAAGTCACCTTTCTTCTGTAGGGCAAGTGTACTGCTGTAGATGCGGACGAAATAAAAGTTAGCTGGAAGACTTTGCTTGAAACGTGGGTGCTGGCGGAGCACTGTCCTCCCCACACGGAGGCCCGACAGACTCGTTCCATTGCAGATTCGGAAGGGGGAAGAAGAGAATGAGTCATATTCACAAGAGATCTGTGCTAAGTGATTGTAGAAGAGAGAATTTTAAGGTTTTATTTGAGTTTATAGTGATTAATTGTTTTATGCCCCATCAAGGTCGGAAAATGTAGGTGCAAGATTGATTTGGTTTACTCGTGGTTAGCAGATTAGGGCGCCTTTCTGTAACCTACTCGATGTCCCAGCAGGACAGACGGAAGATCAACATGGATGGATTGTATCCACATGACAGTTATCGGAGGACTTCTTGGCACAATCCAACGGTCCTACTCCTCTTTACGGTGAGGCTAAATCCCGAGAATCCCTTCCAGCAAAGTTGTCCAGTTAAATAGCAGGTCTGGGAAGACACACTGACTATAAGAAGTAGAAAAGGCTAGGAAGAAGAAGAAGAAGAAGAAGATGGAGATGGAGAAGGGGAAGTAGGAGATGAAAAAACAAAATAATAATGTATAAAAGAAAAATAACAAGGAGAATAAGAATGCGAAGAGGAAGGAGAAGAAAAAGGAGAATAACAAGAATAACGAGAACGAGAACGAGAAGAAAGAGAAGAACTAGAAAAAAGGAGATGAAGAAGTAGAAAAAGAATATGAAGAATTAAAAAAAGTAAGATAAAAGGGAGGATGAATAGGAGAAGAAGAAGAAAAGGAAAAAAATATTAAGAAGAAGAATGAGAATGGGCAGAATAAGATTATGAAAAAGAAGGAGGAGAATGGGGAGTAGAAGACAAAGAAAAAATCAGCGGCAAAAGTAGAATAGGAAGAAAAATAAAATGAGGAATAAGCAAAAAAAAAGAAAAAGAAGGAAAATAACAATGGCCGCCAGAGTCATGCCATGGTCTGGCTGTGCAAGAGCGTGTGTCGCCTGACCCAGGAGCCCCTAATTCAGATTCCTCTTTCGTTTCAGTTTGGACTCCCTCAAAGGTGGAATTGGGCTTAGTATGACCCAAGACCGGGACACCGGCCGACCCACGATGTACCTTCTCTTTTCTGCATCTATTGGGAATGTTTTATCGCCTGTTGTTGGATGTAAGTAGCAAGGTGCACTCGAAGCTGATTACATCTGTCCGTCCGTACATTCCGCTGATGTTGTATAGTTTTACTTGGCTTCAGTTCGGCAAATTGACCTTCTGACAGGCTGGTAGAGGCGGTACCAGCCATCCGATAACGTCTTGACGGATGTGGGGCTGACGAGCAGCGAAGTCCACTGTGCGTTGATATATTCGAGATGAGCAGATGACACAATGGGAGCTCTACTCAGAGGTGATCTGGTTTCAGGATAGTCGTTGAGATCAGTAGGCCTAGTCATCTCAACGAGAATAAATTCAACTTTCACTTGGTTCCGCATCATCTTAGGCTACCGAGAAGGACGGGAATTTTTATTCTAGATTTACTGTCAGTCTCGAAACCCAGTTCCTGCGAATATATGACCCTATGAGATGAACTCACCCCATTTCGTTAAAGATTATGAAGGAATGGTAGTTGAATTTTTGAACAATCATATAAGTAGACCTTATAGTTCTACTGAATTTCACATAGCCTTGCTCCCCAAAAGGTATTTTCATCCAGGCAGAAGTGGACTGCAGTTTCGAACTCTCCTAGGTCTTATAAACAGCCTCAGCGGAACTCGAACAATGACAGTGCATTGCGTAATCTCTAGATGTTGACCACTACGCCACATTGCCACGAGTTTCATTGGTGCACATGGTAGATGTGACTTACAAAGAAGGTCACGCATTTGCCCACATCACATTTTGTGTTAGGATTGTCGATGAAGTAAAGTTGTATTTGCTTCAGCAATCGACTACATTACTTATTTTTCGTATATAAGTAGGGTTTCTAGACCACCAGTAAATCAGATGTATGAGACGTATTCACCCTATTTCGTGTAAGGTGATGGACGCCTTGCTGGGGGTTGATAAGACCTAGGCGAGGTCGAAGCTGCAGTCCACTCCTGCCTGGATGAGAATATCTTTTGCGAAGTAAGACTATGTGAAATTCAATGGAAGCGTAAGGACAACTCACATCAATGTGGGAAAATTCAACCACCAGTCCCCTTATCACCTTCAACGTAAACAAGATCAAACAACCTCAATACATTACTCTGTTTGCACGTATGCGGCTCGTCTGCCTTTAGCTCCCCTTCCCTTATCGCTGGTTAAAATGAGGCCTTGTTGACTGACAACCCTAACTCGGACATAAGCAGGACCTTCAAAGTTTTCCGTGCTTGAAGCAGCTGGTTTACTCATCTTGTATACATTCTTGGAACTCATTCTTGTAAAAGTCTCATGTTAACACTACGTCAAGAGACTATCCGGCTCTATCTTACTTATTATATTGACTTATAACTAAAAATGAGAATAAATTGGCATAGATAGATACAGGATGATTTGGCTAATTATCTTTCATACTGGTCCTGCTACATTTGCTCGAGTGTGTGTGTGTGAGTGTCTGAACGCCTATACGCAATACCGGTCCTAAATCAGAGTGATCAAGAAAGGCCAATGTTAGGCTCTGGTCATCAAGGCCTAGTGACACAACCAAAAGCCCTGACATAGACTGCGTAAGTCCATAAGCAAGCTTTGTTGAGATAATGAGATGTAAGCTTGTAAGTGTGTAAGTCAGGTTACCAAACCACCCGGCCTAACCTCTCAGTCTAGGGTCAGTTAAGTTTAGCCACACAAGGAAAGGCATGACTAGAGCTGCGTAAACTGGTACGTCTGGTTTGGTTGATGAACTTTATCTAGCATTTCGGACGAGTCTGAGCGAAGTTAGAAGCATCACTGAGCGGACGAGACCTCCTAATTTTATGATACAGATTTGGGATTGTCTCCACCGGCCATTCTTCACCGGGCTCGACTGCGTGCTTGACCTCGCCTCGTTGTCTCATCAGCATCTCTGGTGAGATTCGAGCTTTGGGCGTGTGGGCTAAGTGGTGAGCCATCTAACGCCTCAGTCACATTGTCCTAGCATGGTTTTCATAATAAAATAAAACCTTCCCATTGG